CACATTATTGCTAATGAGGAGAAATAATGAATTTTATTTATCATAAATCATTGATATACTCGATTCTGTAATTTAACAAAGCATGGATGTTTAACAAATCAAGAAGGAAATAGAGAGCACAAGAGCATGCGATACCTCAGAGAAAAGACACTTACTTAGTACCTTTTTCATTGCAATAAAATACATGTTTTAGAATGAAATCAACAGCTAGGTACTCAACCATAGGTACTCGGTAATGGCACCAAAGGCAGAATCCTCTTATGTCACCTATTTGTAGCAGTAAAACAACAATATCATAGCAGGTGAAAAATCATAGCATTTCATTATCAAAAGTTACATGTAAAACAACGATAGTTCATTGATAGGAAAAGACAATACAATTACAAATAATTCATTGTACTAAGCATTATTAAACAATGAAACCACATGCTCCTCCTTTAAACAAAATAATGCAAGTGGTAGAACAATGAAACAAAAGGTAAATAATGAAATACAAGGTAAACAATGAAACAAAATAAGCATTACTAAGCATTGTTAGCTACTGTTAAAGTTGAGTATATCATTATGATAAGCAGATGCAAAAATTCAAGCATAATTCTCTAGATGCTATCATTGAATCTTCCCCCGTTTTATCGGAGGTACCGTAGAAAACTGATCATCTGCACTTTCATGTTCATCAGTAACATCAGTTTCATGTACCGTTTATTTTCTGCTTGCATTCTGGGAACTTTCTTCGGTGTTGCATTTAAATTCTCCGCATTCATCATTTGACGTTTGTAATTTGTCTACATGATAGGGTATCACCGTGTCCAAGAGTGCAGCAGAAGGCGCGTTAGAAGGGGGCGAGCCCTTGATGCCACCTATATGTTTTTGTTTCTCAAACATCATCTGAAGATGTTTCCCTTGGTTTCCAATTTAAATCTGCAACTTCCTTTGAATCTGTATAACAGATACAATATCAGAACATGAGAGTTCATTGGTGTTTGTTTGGTGAATTAATCATGTACCTCAAGTTGTTTGTGAAGCCGTTTTTGGAGGTCCATTGCTAGTGATCACAATGTCATCGACATACACAAGCAAATAAATCATCTCCTAAAAAAATGGGTGCAACAGATTAAATCTTAATAAGTCACTCCAAACTTAGCATACCTGCGATTTGAATTGTCAATTAGAAGGGCAGACCACTCCAAAATGGAATTCCTAGAGTCATACCTGCAAACCAATTTTATTAGGGAAATATCGAGTGCACAAGAATGTGAGTAAAGTAAAATGATTTGAGCTATAAATGTAAGTAAGAATATGAAAGACATCATCAATTGGTGATTTTGGGAGGGGATGAGTGATGTGCGAAAGCAAAATTAGTTCCATTAAACAATATAATGCATGAAAATCTGATCAGTGGTTTAAAGCTCTCGGATGTTTAACAGATTCTACTAACCACAACAATTTACAACTGACTTCAACCAAAAACATGATTGTTCAGGGAAGAAAAACAAAAAATTGCACACCTCCATTCTCCATCAATCTGACTAACAGATGGTGCCTCTCGAAGAGCTGGAAGAGGTACTGAAATCACAACATTTCGCAGATCAAACATTGATGAAGCCTCATATTCAATGTTGACGTAAGTTTTATTTCCAGAAGAAGATGGCCAACAGTTAACTACATTTGAAATATATGTGACACTGTCAGTTCTTATTGCATGAAAATAAAGTAGTTGACCACATTCATGATAGATATTAACTCACTTGTCAGTGGCAACAATGACTCATCGGTGCTTTGCATTCTCCACTTTAAAAGACCAACACCTGCAGCATCACTGGCTTGACCAGCAGGGAAAGGCCTATTAGGATCCTTTAGACCTAGTATATAGTCATGGGCAAATAGCTGTTTATTCACGTTAGGGTGTGTCTTGAAAGAGATGGCCTGATTATCACCAGTTTGGACCTGCAAAAACATGGCACAATATGCAAGTACCAATACTTTAGCTGTCTTCCAAAGTGATATATGCATACAAAAACAATCTTGAGGGGGGAAATGGAAGCATTTTTTAATGAAAGGTGCATACTGAAAAATGTAGGTACTGTACAAAAACAACTGAAAAATGGAGAGAAAACAAATAAATTGATCAAACAGAAATAAATATCATTTTGTATATTGAAAATTTTATTTGCATGTAAACAACTCATTATTCTTTCTTCGGCGTAGGGAACCAAAATGATTGTTTTGGTAAAACTCTAAAATACATCACATATCAAAAGCATCAGAATGTTGTGATTGACCAAAGAATAATCAACTTAGACATATTTTAAATCCCATTATCTTCCTTTTCAATTTCTTTTTCTAGGCCTAATTGAACAACCATTTAGACTTTTTCCCTTTATTTCTCTCTTTCAGGATCCTGATCCTTGCCTAGCTATCTAGACCTACCAAAATAAGGCTTGGTTGTTGTAGTTGTTTTATCATTCAGGCCTATTCTTTTTCTATCCAAAATATCGGAGAATACGGTAATACACAACTATATAACCTAACTATTGTGCTACCATGCCCCCGGTTAAATGTGTGTACAGTCGGAGAAATATCAAAGGTTGTAGGGAGCCATGACCGACAACTAACTGAACTAATGATAGCTTTGACTGTATATAGGCTAGGTTAGTTAGAAGAGTTAATAAAAGGAAGGAACAGAACAGTCCTGAGGAAAACCTCTAGTAGGTTGCTCCAGCAACTGAATGATGTTATTCTTTTATTATTTAATTAAAGATAAGCTTTTCTCTATTGAAAATATGTACCAGCCCCATCATGTGTGTAAGAAGATCGATCGAGTGGCTAAAGCATACACAAAAAAATAGCTCATATTGAGCTTAACATCTATGCCGGAAGTATCTAACTAAAACTTTATAATTGACCTATTTTAAATTGCATACAGATCGATTTTTAAACATTAACAATAAGAAACATAGATAATTGTTTGTCTAACATATCAGTGCAAACTAAACCTCACATAAACCATGAGAAAAGTGTATATACACTATAGACAACATCTAAGGTGGGAAAAGAATTTTGTTTCACATGAACTGTTTTATCAAATGATGATGAGATTAAATGAAAAAACTATAACTTTTGTATGTCAATACCTCATTTTGTTATTAAAAATAAATTCCTGGTTATGCAAGCCACATGACACAGCTTGAGAAAGATAGTAAGTATACAATACCTGAACTTGAATATGTCCATCTTCTTGGTTAAGAATTTGCAGAGACAACGTGCCTTGAACATCAAAACTACCAACTCCGCCATCTCGTTTCAGAGTCACATTTAATTTCTCCTCAACAGTTAAAGTGACAGGATCGGTAAGGGGTGGGGCAGCTGTCCGAGACTGGCTAAGTCTTGGCTGAACATCTTCAAGAATGACCTCACCTTCTGCTTTCAATGATTCCAAAAAATGATTTGTCTTTTGAGATTTACCAAACTTCATACCAAGACCCTTTGGCGGAGCAGCAGGAGACGCAGTTGGCCGACCTAAGGAAGAGAAAAGGAGGGTACATTAATGAAAAAATAACTCTTAATTTTGAAACATGATAATTTGGACATAGAATAAAGCACAACCTTGGAGACTGCATGATTTGTTGCCATTCTAAGTAGTTACATTTACAAACATTCTAGATGAACTTGTGAGAATCTAGGGAAACCAACCTTTAGGTTTGGTAGAAAAGGAATCAACATCAGTACTCGATCCAAAACCAGATCAAGTGCTAGATATGCTCAAATCACTGAAGCTATTTTCAATTCTTCCAGAACCCATTGATGATAACGGACCAAACCCTCCTTTATCACCTCTATTCTTTTCAATCTGCGCAATAAATGTAATAAGTTCAATTAAATTATGAGCAATCCCAGACTCAAAAGTTAAAACATAAAAAAGTTTCAAATGAAGAAGAAGAAGTAGTGGCAACTGACCCAGCTTCAAATGAAGAACTTGACAACTGATTAATCTAATCCAAAACTATAACTCTTGAATGTTATAACCATTTGCAATTAAAATAATTTAGCATACCTTGTTATTATTGCCGAAAGTTCAAGTAAGAGGGAAAAAACATTATTGCTCAACCGACAACTCTCAAAGCTTGTCTATAAAGTTTGAAGACTCGCATGAATAAGGAAAGCTTGAAGATCCATACAGAAACTATAAATGGATTAAGACTAAAGTCATCAAATACAGAAGTTCATGGCAAAACATCAGTGATGCAATTAATTGAACAGGTGGCGTGCGTGTTCATATTAGCTAGTGCCTATAACTAACAGTAAATTTTTTAAACAAAACAGAACATATAATTGATACAAATTATAAAACTACAGTAGATATTCAAAAATGTAGAACCTTTGAGGATGACCATGAGTGAAAGCTTCATCAATCATCTAGCTCGATCTGTGGTCCATGTTGACGGCTCGATCTGCATAAACAGAAAGAAACGGGTAAATAAAAATAAGAAAACCAAATTTCTTGAACCAAATTAACATACATGTGCTCCTCATGTCTCTTAAAGATCATTTTCGGAAGAAAAGAAAAGTTCTGAACATCAAAGGGGCAGCGGCAAATTTACGGTTTATGGAGAAAAAGAGAGAAAACAGAGAACGAGGCGGAATTAGGATTTGTGGAGGAAAGAAGAAAAAATTGAGAGTGATAAAAAAAATGGGAGAGAGTGAGAGAAATCTGGAGAGAGAATGATTTTGGTGGGAAGGGGAAAATTTGAGGTAGCCAATGATTAATTGACATATGTCATGCAAATAGAGATTTGTGTGAGATTTATTTGTTACATTTGTTAATTACTTATTTGTCCAATTGCTAGTATAATTAATTTTAAAAGAAAAAGACACTAAAGTAATTCTGGACAATCTTTTTTCGAAGTGTTATAGTTGATTGATAACATAGACACGAGTGACAAAGAAGAAGACAAGAGGGTGCAAGGTTGCGGTGGTTGAAGTTCGAAGAGGCGGTGGAAATGAAAGTGACATGGAAGAACAAGAAGAAGAAACCCTTACCAAACTTCACCGACCTTCCCTTTGAACACGACACCGACCAACCCAATTCACACACTACCGAACATGATTCTGATGGAACAACGCTACCTTCTTCCAATTCCGATCAATCAACGCAATTATCCATGCAATTTCAAGCTCAAGGTGACAAACTCGCTATGGTATGATTCTCTTCTGTTCTTTATGTTAGGTTACCCAAATCTGCATACAATTCTGAAACCCTAATGGCGTTTCCCAATTAGAATACTGTTTTTCCCATGTTTTTTTTGCAGGAGGGGAAGTATAGGGAAGCACTGGGTAAATGGGAAGCTGCTCTTACATTGGCGCCTGATGTTCCGGCTTTGCATGAACAAAAGGCCCAAGTTTTACTAGAAATTGGAGAACCTTGGACTGCTTTAAAGGCTGCAACTCGTGCGTTTTCGCTCGCTTTTATTATACTCTTGTTAACATGTTTATTTCATGTTAATTTACTAAACTAAAGATAACAAATCAACCGTTTTTGAGGTTGTAGTTTGTTAGTGCTTTTGATGATTGTTGTAGAATTCAAATTGTTAGTGGCTTTCTTTTACTTGGAATATGATGATTGACTGTCTGTCTCGAAATGGCAGGAGCTACTGAATTGAAGCCATCGTGGGCTGAGGTACTTGTTATGTTTAAACTTGATATTTTGATATGCAGTTGGTATAAACTTGCTATGTTTAAACTTGATATAAAATACTCCCTTCGTCAGTCACATAATAATTTTCACACTAACCTATTGAGGGATAGAGGGAATACACTAACCTATTGAGGGATAGAGGGAATACTCTGCAAACTGTATTTATTTGTAAGAAGTGGTCTAAACTAGCATAATATGTCATAGTTTAAGCATTTACCAATGTTCATGCCTAGTAGTACTATAGCAATTGTAGTTCAATTTGAAGTCTCTCAGTGCAAGCATTTATTTCGTTATTGATCCTTGCAGGCTTGGGTCACACTTGGGAGAGCACAGCTTAATTATGGCGAGCCTGATAATGCTATTGAAAGCTTTGACAGAGCTTTAGCTCTCAAGGTCAGTCTTCATGAAGCTTGCTAGTTGGTTTTAATGTTGCTCAAATTTTCTGCCATTGACAGTATTTGAATTTTGATAGAACATTATGACAAAAGTTGATTCATGTAGCCAACCTCATGTAGTGGGATAAGACTTAGTTGTTGTTGACATTATTTGAATACTAGCATGCAGACAGTCGCTACTGTGTGCCCGTTTTTCTGCTTAAGCTTAAGCTGAATCACCCATGATGCTCAACTTGATACTTAGTACAGTGTTTTGTGGTTTTGCAGCCTGATTTTGAGGAAGCACAAGATGATAGAAAAGCTGCATCTCGTCTTGTAAAGAAGAGAAAGCAACTTCACTCTTCAGGCTTGAGCGCTACTCAAAATCGTTATACGGTAGGTGATAAAAATGAAAGCTCATGAAGGTAAACAACAAAAGAGAAAGATATCAAAAGTATTTCTGTATACTAGGAAAGTTTTGTTTACTGAGAGTCTGACACCAACTTCATGGTCAAAAAGTTCGTAATTTGTTTGAATGTTTGTATATGTGGTATGATGGATGTGTTAATGTGTATATTGTAATCTACTTTCTTTTGACAATAACAGATAGATTAAGTCATACTGTTTTTTTTTTTTTATCTGTTTGCTTTCTTTAACGCTTTAAAGATTTATATAGAAAATAGTATAAAAAATGATTTTGATTGTATTCTATAGATCTTTGAAAACAAGAAACAAAGTGAAAGTAAGGTGACAATTTTGTAATTAGAAATGTAGAAGTGAAAACACATAATAACGAGACACTGCTTTCTCATGGATATGTATTTGGTACTGGTACATGTACTTATAGTCTATAGAGGCACACAAAACAGGGGAATGCTCTTTCCATCCTTTGTGGTGTCTCCTACGCCCTTAAAAATTCAAAATTGTCATTCAAAATTGTCATTGAAGTGTCTGGAGATGCATCTTTGATGACATTCAAATCACAATCAAAATGCGTGATTCTGAGATCCACTACAGCATCTTCAAAATTCTCTCTGAATCATATTAGAACTGTTGATATGTGTAAATATATATATATATATATATATATATATATATATATATATATATATATATATATATATATATATATATATATATATATATATATATATATATATATATATATATATATATATATATATATATATATATATATATATATATATATATATATATATATATATAGTGTTGAGAATATTTGTATATAGAATAGTCCCACATCGACTATATCATGTAATTACTTGTATTCTATTTATATATAATAATGTCTCCGTAGTGCTTTTCAATACACACGGTTTATTCAAATGTCTCTTAGTCTCTTGTATTTCAACATGGTATCAGAGCCTATCGATTGGACCTTGGGCAGCCCACCGTTTAAATCCACGCACCAAGCCCCCATCATTCTAGGGAACCTGACCCACTAGTTACCCCTACGGTTGACCCCCCCACTCCTCGCCCACTTCAAACATATCAGCGTCGTCACCCAAAGTCTGTCGTACCTGTCCCTGAAGTCGTACCTGTCCCTGAAGTCACTACGGTCGTACCTGTCCCTGAAGTCGTACCTGTCCCTGAGGTCACTACAGACTCTCCTCCGACGCTCTCGCCATCACCGGATTCGGTCCTGCAACCTGAGTCTGATCTTCCGATTGCCCTTCGAAAAGGTATACGTCAAACACGAAATCCTTCTCCACATTATATTGATTTATGTTATCATCGTCTTTCCCCTTTGCAGTATACTTGTTTGTCTTCTTTGTCTTCTGTTTCTATTCCTAAAACTCCAGGTGAAGCATTATCTCACCCTGAGTGGAGGCAAGCAATGATTGATGAAATGTGTGCTCTTCAAAGCAGTGGTACCTGGGAACTGGTTCCTCTACCCCATGGGAAATCTTTAGTAGGTTGTCGTTGGCTTTATACAGTGAAGGTTGGTCCAGATGGCAAGATTGATCGATTTAAAGCCCGCTTGGTAGCCAAAGGATACACTCAAATTTTTGGGTTGGATTATAGTGATACCTTCTCGCCTGTAGCCAAGATGACATCTGTTAGACTTCTTCTAGCCATTGCAGCCATTCGACATTGGTCTCTTCATCAACTTGACATCAAAAATGCATTCTTACATGGTGATCTTGAAGAGGAAGTATATATGGAGCAACCACCTGGGTTTGTTGCTCAGGGGGAGTCATCGAATATGGTTTGTAGGCTACACAGGTCTCTTTATGGTCTTAAGCAATCTCCGAGAGCTTGGTTTGGCAGATTCAGCACTGTAGTACAACAGTTTGGTATGACCCGTAGTGAAGCTGACCATTCTGTTTTTTATCGTCACTCACCCCAAGGGTGTATTTATCTTATTGTGTATGTAGATGACATTGTCATAACTGGTAGTGATCAGCAGGGAATACTCCAGTTGAAACAACATCTCTCGAAACAATTTCAGACAAAAGATCTTGGTAAACTCCGCTATTTCTTGGGTATTGAAGTAGCCCAATCTAAAGATGGTCTGGTCATTTCTCAGCGGAAATATGCTATGGATATTTTGGAAGAAACAGGTTTATTAAATGCTAAACCAGCTGATACTCCTATGGATCCAAGTGTTAAACTACTACCCAATCAGGGGGAGCCTTTATCTGACTCAGGAAGATATAGGAGATTGGTTGGAAAGTTGAATTATCTCACAGTCACTCGTCCGGACATTTCTTTTGCAGTCAGTGTGGTAAGCCAGTTCTTAAATTCTCCTTGTCAGGAACACATGGATGCTGTTATCCGGATTTTGAGATACATCAAATGTGCTCCAGGAAAAGGTCTTGTGTATGAGGATAAAAGACATACCCAGATAATTGGATACTCTGATGCTGATTGGGCAGGGTCACCCATTGATAGACGATCCACCTCTGGGTATTGTGTACTTGTTGGAGGAAACCTTATCTCCTGGAAAAGTAAGAAACAAAATGTAGTTGCAAGATCAAGCGCCGAGGCAGAGTATAGGGCCATGGCAATGGCAACATGTGAACTTATTTGGTTAAAACAGTTGCTCAAGAAACTTCAAATTGAAGAAGTAAGACCAATGACACTTATTTGTGATAATCAAGCTGCATTGCACATTGCTTCAAATCCAGTCTTCCATGAGAGGACCAAACATATTGAGATAGACTGTCACTTTGTCAGAGAGAAGATCGAGTCAGGCGACATCGTCACAAGCTTTGTCAACTCTAATGATCAATTGGCAGATGTGTTTACAAAATCCCTACGAAGCCCCAGAACTAACTATATATGTAACAAGCTTGGTGCATTTGACTTATATGCTCAAGCTTGAGGGGGAGTGTTGATATGTGTAAATATATATATATATATATATATATATATATATATATATATATATATATATATATATATATATATATATATATATATATATATATATATATATATATATATAGTGTTGAGAATATTTGTATATAGAATAGTCCCACATCGACTATATCATGTAATTACTTGTATTCTATTTATATATAATAATGTCTCCGTAGTGCTTTTCAATACACACGGTTTATTCAAATGTCTCTTAGTCTCTTGTATTTCAACAAGAACAAAACATTTGTCCAAAAATTCAATTTTTGTGAGGTCAATTTATATTAACGTAAAATCGAAGTAAAAGCGACTGCACGAGGCCAGTACTCTATGTAGTCAAGCGCAACTTCAAACCTAGTGATGCGAGGGAAGTGGAAGATGATCCATCCTAGAAAATGGTTTGGATACTATATTAATGAAAAATGTAACAAATGAATTATGAAAATATTAGTAATAAGAATTTACCTTAAGCAGCGTGGAACACCTCGTCATCTGCTTTGTCTTTCATAGACAAGTCTCACAAGACTTCAAGTACACGTAGACCAAATAGACGATCCTCCAGTTGTACTCGTGAATCACACTCAGGTCTGTGAAGTAACTTGTGGTCTCGTGGTCCTCGCTGCAACCCTATCACATCGTACCGACGCAGTTTGAGACACACCCCGAGCCTAATCTGACCCATGTTGTCTTCAGCCATTGCACACACGTTATAAAACAACGACAAATATCCACAGCATGCTCGGAGAAATTCAAAAAATGTCTCAATTTTTTGACTGAGTCTAATCTGAAGGCGTATCTCCGAAAACAATGGAACTCCGGAGATGCATCTCCGAAAAAGCATGCTCGGAGAAATTCACAAAATGTCTCAATTTTTTGACTGAGTCTAATCTGAAGGTGTATCTCCGAAAACAATGGAACTCCGGAGATGCATCTCCGAAAAAACCTGTGATTATCTCATGGCAGATACGAGATTTTTGCCTTACTAGTCCCCAAAACACCTCATTGGATGTTGTTCTAACCTACCTATTTCGTTTACACTACGACCTAAAGTGCCTAAAACATTAAATTTGTATCCTAAAAAGCTAACTACAAATCAAAATATTTTTTTTTGAAAAACTTACCAAATGAATTTGATTGATGAGACGGAGAAGTTTGGATGTTATGAGATGCTAAAAAGAAAGAGAAAGAGCTCCATTGATTACTTAAATTCAATGAAGAGTTGCTTCAATGGTTGGGAGATGGAGAGATGAAATGTGTTTTTTTTTAAATAATTTTAGAGAAAATGAAGAATGAGGAAGAGGGAAGGGTCTGGCGTGAGATATGAAAGAAAAGCATCTAGAGATGAATCTTTGGACCACCCACTAACATTTCAATAAATGGTGTTTACGAAGATGCATCTTCAAACTCATTTTTTCACATACGAAGATGCATCTTTAAATTGAATTTTGACGTAAAAAAGACGCCTCTTTAATTTGGTCTGAGAAATGGCTAAAATAGATGCATCCGGAGATGCTTCTCCGGACACCAGGGATATTATGAATTTTTACAGTTGCCTGGGAGCAACCATAAGGGTGAAAAGAACATTTCCCCACAATTTATCCTCTTCAACACTCATGTAGTATCAAATAAATCATTTTTAGTCGTAAAAGCATCACTTTATTTAATTTAGGTTCTAATATATATATATATATATATATATATATATATATATATATATATATATATATATATATATATATATATATATATATATATATATATATATATATATATATATATATATATATATATATATATATATATATATAAATAATAAACAATTTTAAAATATATTATATATGAAATTCTACCATATTATTCTTTTAACATTTTCTAGGCCAAATTCTAACACTTTACTCTATTGAGAAACTTTATTCACAAACAATATTCTCAATCTATAGCAGCTTGTCCTCACTAACACTGTGATGGACATATTGTGAGTGCTTTTAAAGACAACGTTTATTGACTTGACAAAGATTGTTGTAATGTGACTCCATCGC